CGTTTTGGACTTCTTTCTATTTTAAAGAGCCAATAATTACACTATTTGCCTCAACTGGAGCCATTCAATCATTGCCTTCCATCCATCCATCCATTATCTATACACCGCTTAATCCTCATTAGGGTCATGGGGGGCTGGAGTCTATCCCAGCTGACTCAGGGTGAAGGCAGGGGACACCCTGGACAGGTCACCAGTCTATCACAGGGCTACACTTAGAGACAGACAACCAAGCACACTCACATTCACACCTACGGACAATTTAGAATCACCAGTTAACTTCAACATGTTTTTGGACTGTGTGGGAGGAAGCCGGAGAACCCGGAGAGAACCCACGCTGCACAGGGAGAACATGCAAACTCCACGCAGAAAGATCCCGGTGCCCCCACCAGGACGCGAACCGGTGACCTTCTTGCTGCGAGGCAACTGTGCTACCAACTGTGCCACCCTGCAGCCCTCAATCATTGCAAAACCTAGATTTCCATCCAAGCTGAGCTGTTTAATTTGACTTGTATTTTTTTTTTTTTTTTAGCCAACTTACTGATGTAGCAAACATCTTTGTATGCAAATGCAACCTTCACACTCCCATTACTGCAAGCTGCTAAAGATTTAGCCATTCAGTGGATGAATGAAATGTGCACTAAAGTACTGTTGCACTTCTCTCGACATGTGAAGGTGCAGAGACTGAAACAAGACTCTTCCGGTTCTAGTTGGTTATGAAAATGCATGACCACGGTGGTACATATATTTCAGCTGTGTCATGTCGGCGAGGTGCTTTTCGGTGTCTGAGAGCATTGTGGAGGTTTAGTGAGCAGCGGCCCACCATGACAGCAACTTCTGGCTGCTGTCCACAGAGCTTGAGCAGGGAGGTGTTCCTGGATGTTCAGAGAGATAAACACCCGATAAGCCACTCTATCTCAGGTCTACATTGTGCCTATTATTTAAAAACTGTACCAGTTAAGTAATTATAATTTGATATACAATGTTTAATTCAACATACCAACTGTGTACTTCATCTTTTTATTGCACCCGAATGGGTTTTACAGCTTTCTTTGCTTAAAAACAGCTCTATTACAACAACACTAAGAAACGTGAACACAGATTGACTTGGAAATTTTGGAAATAATCTTAGAATCTGAGCACAATTTGAAACTTAGTCCATTGATTCTGAGACTGATTCTCAGAATTTCGTGTAACACATCAAAGATCCGTCATTAATGTCAGATTGTTAGCGTGACAGACGGATGATTGGTGCACACACACTCACTATGGCCTTTTTTTTCTCTCCTTGTGTACGTGTGTGTGTGTGTGTGTGTGTGTGTGTGTGTACACCCGTGTCGTTGTGGATACATGTACATTATTTGGACTTTTGGTGCATTTTGTTGGTGCTGTATCCTGCCATGTGTGTGTGTAAACGGTGTATCTGATCCATGGCTGTGTGTTCTTGTGGGATTCCACACATATTCATGTATCACTGTGTGCGTTGTTGTGATGGATTTGTATTGTACGCGCTTCTGTGTGGCATATTTGCGTGAATGCATGTTTGCATGTGCATTCCTCTGTGCGCGTGTGTGTGTGTGTGTTTGGATGTATGTATTTATAAAGGAGAGGTCCGAGGCAGAAGGGGGGATGACATGCATGTGTCCGGCCTGCTAACATCGCTGACGACTCGCGCACTAACCGACTGCCCACCCTCACGACATGGCGGATGTACTGGTAAACCAACTGCACCTCTTCCTCTGTCCTCTCTCTGTCTGCAAAGTCTCTTTTCTCTTGCCTTTCTTCTCTGATTGTCAATGCATGAGAAGTGTAACTAAACAACCTCTAAGGCCTGCACGTGTGTTAAACCACTTGTAGCCATCATGCAGTACTGTTAAGCACAGGTCTAGGAGTAACCCTAACCACTAAACCATGAACATTTGGCAAAAAATACTAAATGAAAATTTGGTTTTCAAGCAAACTAATTTTGCCACAAATGTTTAATTTTCTGTTTGTTTTACTCCCAAAAGAAATGATACTACAGAGACATGAAAGGAAACAGCTTGCTGTCATAGCACTCTTTTCATCCAGGATAACAGAAGATGCTGCTCATCCTCAGGTGACCAGCTGCTCTCACCTGGTTGACGTGTTTTTTTTGCACAAAATTTAGATTTTTTTTTGCAGCTATACTGAGCAAATGTTTGAAATCCATTTTGCTAACAAGATAACTGACTTCTTTCATTTCTGTCTCATAGCTTTTAGATTTTAGATCAATTAAACTGAGCAGGTAGTTTTCAATATTAGCGTTGACTTCTAAAACCCATCCAGCTGTCCTGTGCTTGGTCTTTTCTCCTGATTCTCGTGAATATAACTGTCATTTATTTTTCACATGTCACGCTGCTGCTGTAGACCACCTAGAACTGCTTGTTGCACTCTCTGTCTTCTGTGTTTAACTCTTCCTCCCTATGTCTCCCTCAGTTGTTTTCTTATCTCACCCTCCCCCCTTTTTTTATCCATTATGTCTGCCTCTCACCCACTTTCCTCCCTCTATCGCTTTCTTTAGTTCCACTCCCCTCAACTTCTCTCCACCGCTGAGGTAACGACATGCATGTTAGGCAGCGCAGTGGAGCTGCGTCTGTTTCCACTTTGGCCATGTGGCCTCTTGCTTGATGGCAACTTCACGGTGGAGTTTGTGATTCTGGAGAAGGATTGTCGATATTTAGCTCGTTGGCACACGCTGCTCTTGTCGTGTTGTGTGGGTTAGTCTGAGCCATGTTGCTTGTTTCCTATTTACAGAGTCAGAGAACACAGAATCTTGTCATTCACAAAGCAAACCAAGAGGAGATATATATAGAATTTGCGAAAAACTTTCCTGTATTTGTATTGATGAGTTTAGCTTTAAAGCAAGAAGCAGAAGTCGCCATAGACCTTCACACATACACTATGTGGCTAAAACATTACAAAATTAAACCTGACATCGATGTAGACTCCACTGGGAACGACCTGTGTCCAGCTGGGGATTCTCAAGCCAACTTTCCTCTTGTGTCTGAAGTTCTTTCTCACACATCAGCACCTAATTGTGACTAATTGTGCTGGTTGTCTTGACTTTTCTCAGGTTTCTGCACTTCTCTCCTGCTGACTCAGATGCGTCTCAGCTAGTCGCTAAAGTTCCCAAATGACAATCTTTTAAAAAAAGATAAAGAAAAATTGACTCATACAAACGACATTCTTGAGTTCTCTTGACTTCTAACAATGGTCGTGCTCACATAGAGGTACAGGACTATACACTGCAGTGAAAAATGAGCCCACAGTGAGTAAAACTGTGAGCAAAAAGATGCCCAGAAGGCTGAAAGACTTAAATTCGTAGCCTTTCCTGTGTGATGCAACACCACCGCCTGTTTTCTCCAGGTATTCATCCAGGCTGGTATTCTTTTCATCAAAATGAAATTTCATCTGACGTTCCTGGAGGCGCCATTTATTTCAGGAAAGGCATCGCGCACGACTTTTTATATTCTGCAGGAAACCCTCGCCCCTATCTGATCGTCGAGTATCTCATTTCAAAGCGGTGGGCTTTTAATCTGCCGCTTTAACGGCCTCCATTCTTTTGGGAGAGCTCTCCGCGAGGCTCCGGAGCGCGGCTGCAGGGATGTTCTCCCGTTCAACCACAAGGTCGGATGTTGGTCATTGAGGCAAACGTTTCAGATCATCCCAGGGGGTGTAGGAGGGCTGGGTCCAGCTCTTGGATTAAACATTTCTTTATAGATCTGGCTTTGTGCATGGAGGTATTGTCATGTTGAAAGGAGAATGGGAGTTGCCCAAAGTGTTGCCGCAACGTTTGAGGTATGTCGCTGTCTGCAATGTAGGAAATAAGAGTTCAGTTGTTTGGATTTAAGGGGCCAAAACTAAAAACCAGAGCCAGACCAGAAGTACATTAAAGTATGTAGACGAAAGTATCAGACATGAAGAAAGCAAACAGTGTTTTAATTTTTTTTTTCACAGAGTCGGACTAGACAGACAATTTGTGGAGAGGCATACCTCTTTAATGCATGGAGGATGCTGGAGCATTTCTGTGACTTGAAATCCAACCCTGTACCTGTCACAAAAGCATGTTCCTCTACAACGAAGCTACATTCTCAATGATGCTTTAAAGGACACATCATTTTTGTTCTGAAATGATTATTTTCTCACCTTTGTCATTGATGAACCGTTAGTCTTAGAGTTAAATGTCTTTTTTCTGTCATTTTTGATGGAGATTCTGTCATTTTCAGAGGATTCTGACAAAAAGTTCTGTCCCTATACCACGATTCAAGATGAGCTTTATTGGTCACATACACATTTATACACTGACAACGTGCGGTGAAATGTATTTTGTACCAGCATCCAATTTCAATAAAAGAAAAAGAAGTGTTAAAGAAGTACGTATACTTTATGTATGCATACACATAAATAAAGCAAATGGAACACTGTTATGATTCCAATGATGGGAAAATGTTTGTGTGTTTACATGCTGTTGGTCCTGACAGGAGGATGCTGTCTCCAAACCTCCAACCGCAGTCAGATCTCAAATTGCTTATTGTAGTGTATTATTGTAAAAATATTCAAACTGCAGCTTAGAGTTAAACTAGTTGACAAAATGGGCTTTTAAATGAAGCAAACCAAACCAACTGAAACATCTGTGGAAGAAATAACTTTGCAGGAAATTTAACAATTGATCCTAATAGTGATTAATGTATTGTTGTTGTTTTCTTTCAGTTTTCATTCACTTCCTGGTTGGTTTAGGCGCCAAAATTTTGTGGTTAGGTTGAAGAAAACATCACACTTTGGTAGACACTTTAACACGTTAGGCACCAACATTACAAACGTATGTGATACAAACAAACATAATCCTTAATCCATTATTCTTTCTATATTTTTGGATGCTGCTGTGGTGTGTAAATGTTCCCTAATGGGGGATCAATAAGAAAATATTCTATTCTAGTCCATCAGAAAATACATTTCCCTCAACATGTGGATGCAGTATAGTTGCATAGTAATTTAGAGAGTGAGTGGGTTGCATAGTCAGATTGTCAAAGTTTGGTATTCTCGTGGAAGACAGAGAGACGTTGACAAGTCTCAACTGGACTCCAGAGATGGCCAAGTTCAGAGCAAGAAGGAATGTAAATGCTGTTTTTTAGCAGCTTTTCCCCTTCTATTCATGCCATGATGACATGAATAGGCCCATGCACTCATAACTGGTCGGGTTGGGTTGGTGTGTGTGTGTGTGTGTGTGTGTGTAGACAGCAGGTCTGATTCATCATGTTTCAGAAAGAAACCAAGAAGCTCTGTGTGTCACAATACCTCTGACTCTGTTTCCTGCCTCTCTCTCTGTCTCTCTCCATCTTTTCCTGTTGCCTCGGACTGCCTTTCGTCTCTCTTCCTCCTTTGCTTGAGTGAAGGCATGTTGATTGATGGAATCATTGTAGCCGTTAGCAAAAGAGCGAGCGAAGCAAAAAAAAAAAAAAAAAAGAAGGATCCCGTTTGTTCTTTCATTCACTCGTCCATCGCTGATCCACAATTGAATCGTCTCGTCTCTGGTGAGCTTTGCTGCTGAATGCTTTCTCTGTGCTCAAACTTTAATGTGCCAGCTACTGAACGGGCTTCGGTTATTTTGTGCACTCTTAAAAAGTTCTGACTCAATGGCTCGACAGACAGTTGGAGATAGACTGTTAGTTCTTTGATTGACCTGTCGATAAGAGACTCTAGCAAACACGCTGTTGCTTAACAAGTCAAATTTAAATGACTTAATAGCCTCTCTGTGGTTCATTGAAGAAATTCTCGGTCGTGCTGATAAAAATCTTTCCACACCCTGTCAGTGTGTGAAAATGCGTTGTCATCAAGCGTCAAACAGGACAGTTTTTTCTCAGTTCCGGAAAACTGGATCTGGGCTCTCTAGGAGATGTGCAGTTTTGCATGTTTTGACTGACAAATTGCCTCCATAAGTCTTTGACATTTTTTTAAATCATAAGATTTCAGATGAATTTTTCCACTTTTGAAATGAGAATTAGATTCTGTTTATTGTTGAATGTTTGTTTTGAATTGAATTGGTAGCGGCTTCTCTGTGTAAAAAAAAAAGAAAGGTAGAATCAGAAAGCATTGGAGTCTCCGTATGATGATGTGATCTCTGGGATTCGGGCCGGACATTTTCTAACTCATGGAAATCCACCCAAACCTAAAGCCAATCCTTTGTTTATGTCATGTAGGTGTGGTAAAAGCCAAACACAATTTGAAGATGGATGACAGTATTAACAAACAATAATGTACTAATCAATAACACAAACAGAGCACAGTGGACACTGGTCTGTGCTGACGTTGCTTTCTTAGTCAACAGATACGTGATGTGGACCCCGGAGGCGGCTCTGTTCGTTATGCCACTGAGATGTAGGAACACTGTCCTAGTTGATACCAGTTTGCCTTAAACGTGTAGCTTGTGGCTGGAGGCTGAAGTATCACAGAAGTCTTTGTTGTGATGCCCGTTGCTCTGTAAACCTCTACAGTGCTCTTTGCTCACCAACACAGAACTGCCCCTAGTGTGAGTGAGCACCTCTTTGGTTGCTGCTGCATGAAACGATTAGAGGCTCCACCTGGTGGAACAACCAGGTACTGCAACTAATCTACGGTACATGTTCTGACATGTACGTAGAGAATCGGGCTGGGTCATATCATAGCATGCACGGTACTACTGGTGTAATGTTAGGGGATAATATGAGATTGAAATATGATAGAATTTGAGTGAAACGCGCCTGCACAGTGCAGTGGTTTTCGTCCGGTCTAATGCACATGGTGCGAGAAGCATGGCGGCGACCAAGGAGGAGGGTGAATGCAGTGCATCAGCCAACACAGTAGGGCTGGACCTGAATATTCGCCCGCTACCCGATAGTGGAAACAGAACTGTGTCTGCTATCCTAAACCGGCATTAGCATCCAAGTACTGCCTGTGCGTGCTGTTGCTATATACCCCCACCTCCCTTTATTTGCACCAATAAAGTTGTGCAGTTTTGAAGTATTTTGTCTCGCATCAATTATATCATCAGTTATATCGTTATCGCAAATTTTCTCATTTATATCGTGATAAATATTTTTGGCCGTATCACCCTGCCCTAGTAGAGAATGTAGGGTTTCGCCGTCTTTTAGAGCTTGTGGAGTCCCTTCAAACTCTACACTACATTTTAGACAGCGAAACTTTTGTCGTCTGCTACTGGATTTAAACCTGTGAGCTTTAAATTGACAACAAAAATGCGTTTTTGTGAATAGAGGATTTTAGTGGGATGCCAACATAGTTTTGTTTGAATTAAGGAGATCCTCTTGAAATGGGCATGTGGCAGCTTGTATGGCTGTAGTGGTGTGTGTGTGGTTGCGGGTCAAGTAGACGTGTTTTGCAAATGTGTGCATTACACTGCGTTTGGAATTTGAATGCACGCATGAGCAGCTGCAGCTTAATTGTGTGTATCTCATCAGTGTGTGTGTGTGTGCGTTTAGGCAGGCTTTTCCTTAAAAGGAGAGGAGATGAATTTGGAGGCTGATATGGTTTGTCGTCGCAGCCCTCCGGTGAAAAACCTTGAATCTGTCACCTCAGAGAGCTGTTAGGCTGGATTTATAGACCCACTTAATGTGTGTCTGTGTTTTTGTGTGACTGTTGTGAAGCAAGAGAGACTTTAAGTGTGAAAGCAATGGAGTGTGTGTGTGTGACATTTTCAAAGAAAAAGTAATGAAGAGGGACAGATCAAGAGAGAGAAGAGCAGCATGGTGGATAAAGTGTGTGTTTGTCAAACAGTGCATTAGTAAAGGTTTAACAGTGTTCAACGTGTCAGGGCACGAGACTGGAAGAGCTCCTTTATTCCACAGAATTGTTCACCTTTCTCCCGCACTTGTTCCCTCGTGTGACTCACTGAAAGTCACCTGTTCTGTATGTAAGAACAGACATGGGTGATATGAACCAGTGACAGACACATCAATAGCAATAAGAAAACTGTTTAACAGATTGTCAGATAGTTTCCCTTTGAGGTGTCGTGAAGCCACTAAACTAGCCGTTGTTAAACTAAAATGAGGACAGATTCAGCAACTGTTTTCCGCCTCAGATGTTTTCAGAACCACTTTTCACTAAACGGTTTTTGTAATAAAAGAAAAAGTTTGAGAGCGAGTCGCCATGTTGGTCCGACGCCCCGACAGGACTGGCTTCCGGTGAACGTAAGCATCTGTCGTCACACCACCTAGTGGCCCGCTATCGACACGCCCACCAAGCGTGCAGTGTTGGGAAACAGTGCATTGCTTCCCGTGTTGAAACACCCCTCCAGACATGTGCCTTAAGTGACCCAGCCTCCTCTGAGGTGGCTTGACACATGGGGTCAATGCATGGTCTCCATATTGTGTCTAGTAACACCCTGTCTAGGCCAGTCATTTGGAACCCATTCTGTAGTACATTACGGTCTGTCTGCACTTCATTATCAATCTGCTAAAGCGGGGAAATAAACAATCTGAGCTGCTTCTCCAATCATGAGCTAAACGAAGGATGCAGTTTTGGTGTTCACTCAATATCGTGGTGAGTGGAGTTGTTTTAGTGGAACATTTGAAAGCAGCGAGGCGGGCAATGTTGTTAAAATGGATAATCTAGCAGGGCTGCTTTATTGCATGGTCCAAATCTTTGGGACAACTTTGAGAGTTGGTTGCTTGCTTGGACGTTGGTCATTCTTGTAGCACGGTGGATTTGGAAAGCAGTAACACGGAGATAGCAGAAGGAGAAGAGAAAGCGGCCAATGGCAGGCGGATACCCGCAGTCTACATCCAGCGAGTCAGAATAAAAATAATAAATACAGGTCAGTACCTCAATAGAGCAATAATTAGTGCTGTTGATAACATTTCAACCGTGTGTAAGAAGAGCCATGAAAACAATAAACATGGACGCTGCAAAATAGCCATAAGGAAGCCAGAAGTAGTCAACTACTGGCTTGTAGCCCTTATCAGCAAGATTAAGCTTGATTTAAAAAAAACAAAACCAAAAAAAAATAAACATCTGCTTCTAACTGAGCAAAAACTAAGCAGTGGTAACAGAAACTCCAGGAACAACTGGGACACTGAGGGTTTAAGTCATTTGATTGTGGTAGCCGTAGCCTCGGGTTCTCATAACTTGTGAGTGTCATATTCTTTGATTGATTAAATGGTTGATGAGTGAACCCATACTTCAAATGTGTTTGTCTGAAGATTTATGCTGCTGGTTTTTCCAGAGTTCCAGCTAAACTTGGAAGTCTCGCGTAGTGACGATACACAGGTGCAGCCTCGCCTCCAGGCTTTCTTTTTGTTTTGTTGCCTCACTTTCATCACTCCTTTTATATAAAATCATTGACAAAACGTGACGGAACATGAGAGGCAGTGAGCTGGAAAGGGACTACTCGGATTTAAGGTAGTACCGCCTGGAGGTGTAAGGGAGTATGATAAGTAGCGCAGACCATTCCTGTTTAGAGTTCTTAGTTCCACAAAAACATTCTTGCATGATTCAGACGTGCTGGAAATGAGCCCCTGAAGAAAAATGATTAAGAAGTGAAGGCGGAAGAAAAGATCCGTGACTGTGTGTAAATAGGGGATGTCCTGGTTTGTTCTTCAGACTTGGGATAGGGGCTGACAGTGGCTAAAATCTCTGTGACAAAGTGTGCTTTTAGATTGAACAAACCAAACAGACTGCAGCGTCTAGAATAAATAAATAACTACAACTATGCAAGCAATGTAACAGCTGGCTAAATCTAGATTAGAGCTCAGTCGACTAGTTTGAGTCGACAAAAAATTAAATTTTTTTGCAGTATGAAAAGGAAACAAATGTTTTCATATTAAAGTGCAAAACTGTCGAGTTAAACTTGCAAATCCAAAATCATAAAAAAATCATAAAAAGAAGGTTTTTTATTTTGGGTCAGTCGTGGAACTCCAAAAGATCTCAAAGAATCTGTTAAACCCAAAGTGGAAAGAGTTGCTGAAGCATTTTCTTTCCTCCTTATTGTTTATTTGTTCTCTGACATAAGTTGTAGCTTCAAGTTGTCTTTAATTTATGCCTATGTTGAGTTTTTTAGACAGCACACCGAGCTTCTGCTCCTGTGTCCATGTATCCGTCCATTAGTCATAGTCGCTTTATTATGTAAGGCCAGCTCATGCTTTCTGCACCTGCATGTTCACAAGGGTAAATTTCATCGTCCGCCCAAGTCACAGGAGACTCTCTGTCATTCACAACTTTATGATTCACCATTAAAAGAGTTATTATTGATAGGGATGTCCCAATCAAGTCCTTTTTTCTTTTTTGTTTTTGCCCCTGTCCAATTTGAGTCATTTCATATTTAGTATCTGTCAGTCCCAGTCAGATGCTCTTTTTGGAAATAATACAGACTTTGAATACATGAAAGTTGTTAGAATCAATCCGGTATGTACACTTGACAGCTAAATAGTTCTGCA